CCCCCCCCAATTCTATCCCAAAGTCATGGGAGTTTCTTAACTAAGGAAATAAACAGTTGAAACCGTTATGACAGCATGCAATGAACGTAGAGTGAGCAACTTGACGGCCTGCTCGTTTATCCAATCACTGTTGTCCCCGCTTACAACTAAAGTAACCAAACAGCCAATCAAATTTCTTTAGGGCTCAGCAAAGAATGAGCTCATTCCCACGCCACTTCCGTAATGAAACTCTCCTTATAAAAGGTAAAAGACTGGAAAAAATAACACTGTCCTGAGGGCTCACGATATCCTAGCCCTGACAATAAGGTGAAAGTTACGACACACTTTTCCGCAGTGACACAGATACCTACGCTCTCAATGGACCTTTGTTAGGTGCGTCCTACTTTCTGCCACAACATTGCTCAATCCAATTCATAGACAGAATATGTTTGAAGTGGTGAGTGTGTATGTTTGTGTTTGTGCGCTGAGATTTAAAAGTTATAAATCACGTCAATTCCACTTTTATGCCAACTTTTTCATACAGAAAAATCTAAGTTAGAAAAAAAAAGAGATGGAAGACAAAGGTGACCCTTCTCGTTTGAACGGTTCTCAAAATGCCGTGGCTCACCTTGACTATAGAGACATCAGTACTGTTTAGGTTCCCTATTTGGAGAAAAGAAGTGGAAGCAACTGAAGCCCCACCCAAATTTTGGTCCACCCACCGCCACTGCAAGAAAGCACTGTGGTCGCGATAAGGTATCATGACGGACTACAATGTGGTATCATGGTAGACTATATAGGCCTACACCGTGGTATCATGATAAACTACAATATAGTATCACGATAGACTACAATGTCATGGTATCATGATAGACTACGATATGGTATCATGGTAGACTACGACATGGTATCAATATAGACTACGATATGGTATCATGATAGACTACAATGTCATGGTATCATGGTAGACTACAATGTCATGGTATCATGGTAGACTACGATATGGTATCAAGACAGACAACAATATATCTTTCTGACTACAATATTGTATCGTGACAGACTCTGCAATGTGGTATCATGATAGTTTACAATATGGTATCACGATAGACTACAACATCATGGTATCATGATAGATTACAATATGGTCTCCTGATAGACTGCAGTGTGGTATCTTTCTGGACTACAATATGGTAAAATGATACATGTAGCTTACAATATGGTATCACGACAGACTACAATATAATGGTATCATAATATACTACAATGTGGTATCAAGCTGAACTACGATACTGCAGCATTCTGATATGGTGTGATGCTAGAATTTAATTCGGATTTGTACTAGACTTCTTTAATAAGGAGTATCAAGACCCACAGCACCCAAAGCAAAGTCAAGTCCTATTGGGGGTAGACATTAAAATTCAAACTTCCATGTTATGTCAAGCCAACTTCCCGACCTAAAAACGTTTGAGTGACAGAGTAAACTCGCTCGCTACAGCACAAAGTAGTCGACAGTGTTTCCTGTCTGAGATTAGCCAGGCTCCCCCACGAGTATTAATGTCGGAGGAAGTGTCAGAAATGATGTATGCCAGGAAGGACGTCGTGTCTGCAACACACTTTGAAGGTGACCAGGTAGCCTTCAGGGTGTGTTCACGCCATAGATTTCTAATATTGTGATATCCTAGATCGTGAACTCTCCAATGTAATTCCGGTTTACTGTGGAGCCCACCGTTTGACTCTATTTAGATCCAAATGAAGGGCCAGTTGAGAGGGAAAGGGGTTGTATGCTCACTTGGCTGTAACTAGACTGGTGTTTGACCCTACATTTAGGTTGACTTGACATAATATAAAAGTTAGTGGTTTGAGTTTAATCTCTGTCTCCTAGAGGACTTACCTAGGTGTTTTCAGAATCATCAGATTCCAAAAAGAAATACGAATCGAAGTCTATGATCTCTGAAATGGTCATGGTAAAGGTCTAACGCCCCTGTCAACACTGATAGATTATTTAACGTCCATCTCCGAAAGAACCGAGCCAAGCGGGAAATTCGTGTAAAGAATCTTTCTCAGGGACACAACGTCGGACCGAGCTGAGGCGGTAAACCCCGAACCCGCAATCTCACGATTACGAGTCCGTTAGCCTGACCACTAGGCTACGGACGCCTTATACCACATCTTCACAGCGAAAATCTATAGAGAGCAAAGAAAGATGGCAATGATAGAAGGACCTTCTGCAGTTGCGAGCGCCGTATAACATTACTAAAACTAATTTTTAAAATTCAAGCCTATGGCTCACACTGACGGCTGGAGGTTGAAAAGTTTGACAGGAGATGCAAACACCCCTTTCCTTTCCCCACCACCTACCCCTACCCTCACCGTCACCACCACTTTACATGCAACTCACCAAAGCATACCGAAAATGTTTCCTTCCTACCCCCCTCCCTCAACCACGAAAAAAAAAGAAAGAAAAAAAGAGGAGAAAATAAATCGACATTATTCATTTTTGGTTAGATAGATAGATAGATAGATAGATAGATAGATAGATAGATAGATAGATAGATAGATAGATAGATAGATAGATAGATAGATAGATAGATAGATAGAA